CAGCAGCTGCGAGCTCAGAGCTGGAGGTGGGCCATCCACCCACGGCGTACCTTTTGGATAGGATCACGGCGTTGGAGAATGAGCTGAAGCAGAAGCAGTGCAGCGTCGGAGCGGCCGCCATCGTGGAGCGGACCGCTATTAGCCGCCACATTAACCGCCACATCGAACGGTGAGGCCCAAACTAACGGGGTCGGTCCGGTCCCAAATAGCAGTTTCGGTGCGACCAGTGGGACCTACACGCTGCCGCCATCTTGGAGTGGACAACCGTTACTAACGACTAGCAACCCACTGTGTGCTACAAGTGCTGCGCAGACAGCGCATGGATTCGTGCTACCGGGCGGGAGCATCCACAACGTGGCAACTGCATCGGTGCATGACACCGATTGGAACCCAAGGAGCGAATGGGCCAAGGAGGCTCCCGGACTTGTCTATATTTGGAGGGCAGCCCGAGGATTGGCCCATCTTTAATTGTGCATTTGTGGAGACGACCCAAGCGTACAAATGCTCGGACCTGGAGAACAACCAGAGGCTGTTGAAGGCGCTGAAAGCTGAAGCACGCGAGACAGTGAAGTCGCTGCTGATTCACCCTGCGAACGTCAGAGCCGTGATGGAGCAGTTGCGCTTTAGGCTTGGCCGACCGGAGCAGCTTATACGCAGCCAGCTGAACAGCGTGCGAGAGGTGCCGCCAATTACGGAGCAGAACCTGGCGAGGATCGTTCCCTTCGCAACTAGAATGAGTAACCTCACGACCTGCTTGCAGTCGGCGAAGGCGAAGCAACATCTGGGAAACCCCACCCTCATGGAGGAGCTTGTGGCAAAGCTTTCCACCAGCAAACGAGTGGATTGGGCCAGGCACGCTGCATCGATCGAGCCCTTTCCCACTGTAGCGCACTTCAGCGTGTGGCTACAGTAGTACGCAAACATCGTGTGTACGATTTTGGACGTCGAGGGAAAGGAGCCGAGGCGTCAAGTTTTACACGCGAGCGTCGACCAGGACGGATACGAGCAGCGGGATGACCGGCATAGAGGTTGTCCAATTTGTGGAGGGCAACATGCTACGACGCACTGCAGGGAGTTCATCGGAGCTTTGCCACCGGGCAGGTGGAGCATGATGAAGAGGCATCGGCTCTGCTTCACATGCTTACGGAGTGGGCATACGACCAGATCCTGCGATGTGCATGGCGAGTGCCAGATTAACGGATGCCGCAGATTGCCTCACCGTCTGCTACATGGAGAGGACGAAGGGCGAAGAAGGCCGGAACAGCGAGGTGGCTTCAGGCGCCACAACGGAGGAAACCAGATGTCAGCTGTTTCCAGACGCAGCCCGGAAAGAAGGTCTTCGCCACGAGGTGGTTACAGGGACCACGAGAGGAGCCAGCAGCCGGCTGTTCCCGTCCGTGCAGACGAATTTAAGTATTGACGTCGAATGAGGCCGACTTTTGTTCCGGATACTGCCAGTAACGCTGTACGGAGCTGGTCGCCAGGTGGACACATACGCGCTGTTAGATGAAGGACCCTCCGTCACGATGATCGACAACGAGCTACGGAGGGATCTGGGATTGCAAGGCGAACATCGACAGCTGAACATCCAATGGTTTGGAGGAAGAGCCAGCAGGGAGCCTACCAACGTGGTGAGTCTGGAGATAAGTGGAGCTGGGAAGCCCATTCGCCACCCGTTGAGGAACGTGTACGCCGTTTCAAACTTGAGTCTGCCGATGCAAACGTTAAGTCGACGAGATGTCCAGGGCGTGCAAAGGGATTCGCGACTGCCGATGAAGCCCTACAGCAACGTGGTGCCGAAGTTGCTAATCGGACTGGACCATGGTCATCTGGGATTGCCACTTAGGACGTGGCGGTTTGCCAGAGAGGGACCGTATGCGGCCGCAACCGAGCTTGGGTGGGTTGTGTTCGGGCCAGAAAGTGGACAGTCAACTATGCCGTCACCGAGGTCCTGCCTTCTAGTCGTGTCAATGGACGACACTATGGAAAAGATGGTGGAGGACTACTTCGACATGGAAAGCTTTGGTGTAAAGCTCGCGCCACCGGTCGCAGCCAGCGACGACGCGCGGGCCCAAAGGATCCTCGAGGACACCACGGTGAAAGTGGGGCGTCGCTACCAGACGGGATTGCTCTGGAAGGACGACCACGCTGTGCTGCCACGGAGCTACGAGATGGCGCACAGACAACTGATCAACGTCGAGAAGAAGTTGAAGCGCAACGGGCAGTCGGCTCTGGAATACGACCGTATCATCAAGGATTACGTTTCCAAAGGATATGCAAGGAAGCTGCAGCCCGATGAGGTCGCGGTGAAGAGCGACAAGCTGTGGTATTTGCCACATTTTGGTGTGGAAAACCCAAACAAGCCCGGTAAGGTCCGGCTTGTGTTCGGTGCTGCAGCCAAGCCTGGAGGAACATCACTCAATTCGGCGTTGGACAAGGGGCCACAGCACTACAAGCCCTTGCCAGCTGTGCTCTTCCACTTCAGAGAAGGAGCAGTCGGAGTCTGCGGGGACATCAAGGAGATGTTCCACCAAGTGCTGATCCGACCCGAGGATCGATGTTCCCAACGATTCCTCTGGAGAGATGGCAACGACGATCGAGAGCCGGATATATACGAAATGAACGTAATGACGTTTGGAGCAGCCTGCTCGCCGAGCACTGCGCACTACGTCAAGACGGTGAATGCCCTGACTACGTGGATAGTTTCGATACGGAGAGCGAAGCTATTGAGGTATCTACCCGAGTGAAGGAGATACACGCGGAGGCTGGATTCGATGTATGCCAGTTCTCATCCAGCTCACCCATCGTGGAAGCGGCGTTGGGACCACCTGGACAAGTCAAGAGCTTCGGATGGGGTGAGTCTGAGCAGAAAATCCTTGAAATGCGTTGGCAGGTAGCAACGGATGACTTCAGATTCAACGTGGAGTATCATCGAGTGCCAAAAAGCGTCCTAAGTGGAGAGCGAGTCCCAACAAAGAGGGAGTTTTTGAGCCTGCTGATGTCAACGTTCGACCCATTGGGGTTCCTGTGCTGCCTGATGATTACAGCGAAGCTGTTGCTGCGGGACCGCTTCTGGAGGAGGTGGGTCATGGAGTACCTGCCTACGCTTGTGCGCCGCAAGAAGTGGTGCCGAAGAACGGAGCCCATCCGCCAGGGCGATATGGTCTTCGTCTGCGATCCTGCCTTGCCCAGACGAGAGTGGCGCAAGGGCATCGTGGAGGAGGTATACAGCGGAGCTGATGGAGTCGTCAGACGCGCCACTGTGCGCGTAAATGATAATGGACTATCTTGGACAATGTTGCGGCCCGTCTCTAAACTTGCAGTTTTAGATTTGAGTGAAGTGGGTCTTCACGGGGTCGGGGATGTCGACGGTCAAAACATTGTTATCGATAGTTAAGTCAGTATTAATAAGAAATTTAGTATTTTTTAAGTTATCCGATTTTTGGCCCATTAAAGTACGGGCTTATTTATCGCGGTTATGTGAATACCGCCTAAAAGTGCCTTTTCACTGTCTTGTGAATAGTAGGAGGGCACACTGCGGTAAGAAGAAGAGCTATATTTGAATTGTAAACTTATTTAATGAATTTACAGAATAAAACGTTCCGTACGCCATAGCCATAGGCCTTTGAAGTTCACCTTTCTTTGGACCTACGCGTGGGAGGAGCCGTTTAAGGCAACTCCGCACTTCACAAGACGACACTTAATATAATATGGGCATCCATCAATTGCAATGTCGATTCTGAGTTAAATTCGTATTGCCCCTGCTTCATAGACAATATTTATTGAGAAAATGTCGGATTTGATTATTGTAGCAGATACGATCCTAAAACTATTATTTGTGTTCATGTAAATAGAAAGTTGTAATCCTTAATCAGTTGACAAAATTTTCGAATTAAATATAGTTGTAATTTTGAATTCAAAATAACGATTTCCCGCCAATTAAATTCAAAGCTTATGGCAACCTTGCAACTGTTTGTCGACAGCTTATTGCCTATTTTGAGCAAGAAATTTGATTGGCCCGACTCTAGGCAAGCACAATTACGTCGATCCTTGTTGAAATGGCGCCACGGCAATAAAGTCGCAGGGGATCCATATGGACGCCGTTGCCTAAGGCGTTTAATGCGCGTCCGGGCAGAGGATACATTTTACTCGTAACGATGTGGTAAGAGCCGGAGTCCGTAAATCTAAATGCAACTGACTAGGTTTCCACGACCGTTTCCCTCACAAGAAGTCTTCCGTTTGTCAAAACTACAAAGTTTCGTGGGCTGCTTCTTACCGCGTGACAATGTAGAGAGTTTATTTTAAAGGCCATATCGGACACAGTCGGCAGTTGGCACAGCTACTCGAGTTCTAACGGATAGCGCATTCACAATGCAAACCTTGCAAGCTGCATCAGTTTTTGTGGTGTGGAAAAAAGCCTCAACACGAACCATGCCCTTTATAGAGACCTAGAGCTTGTGGATTGAGCGTCTCAATGTGTACATTCTTTAGCTGTCGTCTTGTGAAGTGCGGAGTTGCCTTAAACGGCTCCCCCCACGCGTAGGTCCAAAGAAAGGTGAACTTCAAAGGCCTATGGCTATGGCGTACGGAATACGGAATCGATAACAATGTTTTGACCGTCGACATCCCCGACCCCGTGAAGACCCGCTTCACTCAAATCTAAAACTGCAAGTTTAGAGACGGGCCGCAACATTGTCCAAGATAGTCCATTATCATTTACGCGCACAGTGGAGCACTCCATCAGCTCCGCTGTATACCTCCTCCACGATGCCATTGCGCCACTCTCGTCTGACAAGGCAGGATTGCAGACGAAGACCATATCGCCCTGGCGGATAGGCTCCGTTCTCCGGAGCCACTTCTCGCGGCGCACATGAGTAGGCAGGTACTCCATGACCCACCTCCTCCAGAAGCGGTCCCGCAGCATGCGGGCAATCCTCCACTGCTTTCGCGTAAAACCCTCCTTGGGCCGGTCCACATCCCATCCGGGCGTATCCGGCAGGTTAGCTGACTATGTTTTCCGCCTCTATTAGGAGACTCTCCAAAACATGGTCCCTCGGCGTGACTTCCTTCAGGGTATGGCGCAGCATGGCTTGGTATGGCTTGACGCACTGCACCATCCGCTCCCATACTCCGCCCTCAGACGGGTTGGATGGGCATTTAAAGACCCATTCAATGCTCCTGCTGGATAACTCACTCTGTATCCTTTCCGTCTCGAACACGTCTCCAAATCGCCTGGCCTCCCTGTCAGCTCCCACGAAGTTCTTGCCGTTGTCACTCCGCAGTGTACGTACTGGTCCTCTACAGCAGATGAAGTTCCTGATCGCTATTATACAGGAATCCGTTGACAGGTCATGCGCCAGCTCAAGATGAATCGCCCTTGTCGTCAAGCATGTGAACAAGGCGACCCAACGCTTCTCTCTGTGACGAGCACCAGTCACCAGCAGTGGCCCAAAGTAGTCTACTCCTGTGTACTTGAATGGCCATCCTTCCAAGCGATCCTCTTGAAGGGGTCTCATTATCGGCGTCATCGGCCGCGTCCGTTGTAGCTTGCATTCGTTGCACGACGAGATTACCTCCTTCAGCACTCGTCTTATCTTCGTGACCCAGAATCTCGTCCGGATCTGGGCAATCGTCGCATCCACGTTTTGATGCTTCATCTGGGCGTGGTAGTGTCTTACTACCATCTCCGTAAGACTGTGCCTGTGTGACAGTATCACAGGCCTCCTCGCACTGTACGGCATGGTCAGCGCGGCATCGACTCTGCCATAAACTCGCAGAACTCCATATTTGTCCACGTAAGGCGCCAGACTTCGAATCTCGCTCGAGTTGGCGACGTCCATTTCTCGTTCCGCCGACCTCATCTTGTCGGGAAAAGACTCCAATTGGGCCTGCCTGATTAACAGGTTCTCCGCGGCCTCACACTCCGCTGCAGTGAGTCCATATTCCTCGAGCTCGCTTCTCTGTTTGCGGCACCGTCGCGCAAACCTCAGGACCCAGGCGGTGGTCCTCACCAGGCGACTGAAGCTCGAGAATCTCTGGAACAGGATGACAAATTCATTTGATGCTACCAATGCGAACTCACCGAGCATCTCCTCTTCATCAGGTGCATCTGGAACATGCTCGGTTCCCTCTTCAGGCGTTGGCCAGCCGCTTGCTGGCTGCCTCAAAAATGCGGGACCGCTTAGCCACCGGTATTCCGGGCTAAGGTCCGCCTTGCTCTGCGACCGCGTCGCATCATCCGCTGCGTTGTCAGCTGTAGGTACCCATCTCCACCTTCGACGACTCCAAAATCTCCGCCACTCGGTTGCCAACAAACAACACCGTTTCAACACCGTTTTTGAATCCGTCCATAAAACCGTCTCGCTGATGTCCACACTGTGTTCTTCCTTGACAGTGTTTATCACTCTGGTTCCAAGGACCGCTGCCTGCAGCTCCAGCCGTGGGATGGACATCGTTCTCATCGGCGCACACTTCGTCTTCGCGCACACGAAGCTAACCAGCACGTTGCCATTCTTGTACGTGACCCTCCAATAGGCCACCGCCGCGAATGCAGATTGACTTGCGTCCACGAAAACGTGTAGCTCGATGGTCCAAGCTGCTCCACGCCCAAAATAGTGGCGAGCACATCGGAACTGTCCCACGGCGTCCAACTCTGTGCGCCAGGCAGCAAAGGCTCTGCCTACCTCCTCCGGCAGCGGTTCGTCCCACTGGATCTTCTGCCTCCAGATTTCCCGCAGCAACAGCTTCGCTGTAATCATCAGGCAGCACAGGAACCCCAATGGGTCGAACGTTGACATCAGCAGGCTCAAAAACTCCCTCTTTGTTGGGACTCGCTCTCCACTTAGGACGCTTTTTGGCACTCGATGATACTCCACGTTGAATCTGAAGTCATCCGTTGCTACCTGCCAACGCATTCCAAGGATTTTCTGCTCAGACTCACCCCATCCGAAGCTCTTGACTTGTTCAGGTGGTCACAACGCCGCTTTCACGATGGGTGAGCTGGATGAGAACTGGCATACATCGAATCCAGCCTCCGCGTGTATCTCCTTCACTCGGGTAGATACCTCAATAGCTTCGCTCTCCGTATCGAAACTATCCACGTAGTCAGGGCATTCACCGTCTTGACGTAGTGCGCAGTGCTCGGCGAGCAGGCTGCTCCAAACGTCATTACGTTCATTTCGTATATATCCGGCTCTCGATCGTCGTTGCCATCTCTCCAGAGGAATCGTTGGGAACATCGATCCTCGGGTCAGATCAGCACTTGGTGGAACATCTCCTTGATGTCCCCGCAGACTCCGACTGCTCCTTCTCTGAAGTGGAAGAGCACAGCCGGCAAGGGCTTGTAGTGCTGTGGCCCCTTGTCCAGCGCCGGATTGAGTGAGGTTCCTCCAACCTTGGCTGCAGCACCGAACACAAGCCGGACCTTACCGGGCTTGTTTGGGTTTTCCTACCACAGCTTGTCGCTCTTCACCGCGACCTCATCCGGCTGCAGCTTCCTGCACATCCTTTGGAAACGTAATCCTTGATGATACGGTCGTATTCCAGAGCCAACTGCCCGTTGCGCTTCAACTTCTTCTCGACGTTGATCAGTCGTCTGTGCGCCATCTCGTAGCTCCGTGGCAGCACAGCGTGGTCGTCCTTCCAGAGCAATCCCGTCTGGTAGCGACGCCCCACTTTCACCGTGGTGTCCTCGAGAATCCTTTGGGCCAGCGCGTCGTCGCTGGCTGCGACCGGTGGCGCGAGCTTTACACCAAAGCTTTCCATGTCGAAGTAGTCCTCCACCATCTTTTCCATAGTGTCGTCCATTGACACGACTAGAAGGCAGGACCTCGGTGACGGCATAGTTGACTGTCCACTTTCTGGCCCGAACACAACCCACCCAAGCTCGGTTGCGGCCGCATACGGTCCCTCTCTGGCAAACCGCCACGTCCTAAGTGGCAATCCCAGATGACCATGGTCCAGTCCGATTAGCAACTTCGGCCCCACATTGCTGTAGGGCTTCATCGGCAGTCGCGAATCTTTTTGCACGCCCTGGACATCTCGTCGACTTAACGTTTGCATCGGCAGACTCAAGTTTGAAACGGCGTACACGTTCCTCAACGGGTGGCGAATGGGCTTCCCAGCTCCACTTATCTTCAGACTCACTACGTTGGTAGGCTCCCTGCTGGCTCTTCCTCCAAACCATTGGATGTTCAGCTGTCGATGTTCGCCTTGTAATCCCAGATTTCTCCGTAGCTCGTTGTCGATCATCGTGACGGAGGATCCTTCATCTATGTGTCCACCAGGCGACCAGCTCCGTACAGCGTTACTGGCAGTATCCGGAACAAAAGTCGGCCTCCTTTGACGTCAATACTTAAATTCGTCTGCACGGGCGCCTCCGCTGGCTGAGGGGCCCTTCTCTCCAGGTTGTCTCTGAGAACAGCCGGCTGCTGGCTCCTCTCGTGGTCCCTGTAACCACCTCGTGGCGAAGACCTTCTTTCCGGGCTGCGTCTGGAAACAGCTGACATCTGGTTTCCTCCGTTGTGGCGCCTGAAGCCACCTCGCTGTTCCGGCCTTCTTCGCCCTTCGTCCTCTCCATGTAGCAGACGGTAATGCAATCTGCGGCATCCGTTAATCTGGCACTCGCCATGCATATCGCAGGATCTGGTCGTATGCCCACTCCGTAAGCATGTGAAGCAGAGCCGATGCCTCTTCTCCATGCTCCACCTGCCCGGTGGCGAAGCTCCGATGAACTCCCTGCAGTTCGTCGGAGCATGTTGCCCTCCACAAATTGGACAACCTCTATGCCGGTCATCCTGCTGCTCGTATCCGTCCTGGTCGACGCTCGCGTGTAAAACTCGACGCCTCGGCTCCTTTCCCTCGACGTCCAAAATCGTACACACGATGTTTGCGTACTCCTGTAGCCACACGCTGAAGTGCGCTACAGTGGGAAAGGTCTCGATCGATGCAGCGTGCCTGGCCCAATCCACTCGTTTGCTGGTGGGAAGCTTTGCCACAAGCTCCTCCATGAGGGTGGGGTTTCCCAGATGATCCTATCCAAAAGGTACGCCTTGGGAGGCTGGCCCACCTCCAGCTCTGAGCTCGCAGCTGCTGTTACAGTACTCCTTGGTTGGGACGCTACTGTAGTCGCTGTAGTGGCTGGGCGAGAAATGGCCGCCGCCGTGGTTATGTTAACCCCTGGCCGGTTTTCTGCTGCACTACTCGCTGGCTGCGGCGTTGTTGTAGGGGTGGCTTCCCCTCCGTTCAGCCGGGAACTCCTCCTGGGGGAATGCTGCATCTCCAAATAAATATGGTCCAAATATGGCGCTGCCCTAGCGCTCCAAAATGGCGGACCTGTGCCGTCTGGCTGCTGCCGCTGATGCTCAGCGCTCCTTGCGCCTCCTGACCGCTGGTGCTTGGCGCTCCTTGCGCTTCCTAACCTGACGCTGGCTGCGTCTCCTGAACTGACGCCGGCTGCGTCTCCGTGTCGCTGGCTGCGACTCTGTCTGTACTCAGCGGTTGGCGCTCCTTGCGCCGTCTTTGTAGCTGACTGCGACTCCTTTGCTGGTACGGGAAATGCGCTCCGTGCGCTCCTGGCAACTCTCTAGCTGGTCGTCAAGCCGTCCTCCAGCGCAAGTTGCCCATGCAGTCTCCCTAGGACTGCGAATTAAAAATGTCGTCTTGTGAAGTGCGGAGTTGCCTTAAACGGCTCCCCCCACGCGTAGGTCCAAAGAAAGGTGAACTTCAAAGGCCTATGGCTATGCCGTACGGAACGTTTTATTCTGTAAATTCATTAAATTAGTTTACAATTCAAATATAGCTCTTCTTCTTACCGCAGTGTGCCCTCCTACTATTCACAAGACAGTGAAAAGGCACTTTTTGGCGGCATTCACAATACCGTGATTAATAACCCCCTACTTCAGTGGGACAAAATCGGATAACTTAAAAAATACTAAATTTCCTATTAATACTGACTTAACTATCGATAACAATGTTTTGACCGTCGACAACTATTATTTGTGTTCATGTAAATAGGAAGTTGTAATCCTTACTCAGTTGACAAAATTTTCGAATTAAATATAGTTGTAATTTTGAATTCAAAATAACGATTTCCCGCCAATTGAATTCAAAGCTTATGGCAACCTTGCAACTGTTTGTCGACAGCTGATTGTCTATTTTGAGCAAGAAATTTGATTGGCCGCAGGGGATCCACATGGACACCGTTGGCTAAGGCGTTTAATGCGCGTCCGGGCAGAGGATAAATTTTACTCGCAACGATGTGGTAAGAGCCGGAGTCCGTAAATCTAAATGCAACTGACTAGGTTTCCACGACCGTTTCCCTCACAAGAAGTCTTCCGTTTGTCAAAACTACAAAGTTTCGAGGGCTCCTTCTTACCGCGTGACAATGTAGAGAGTTTATTTTAAAGGCCATATCGGACACAGTAGGCAGTTGGCACAGCTACTCGAGTTCTAACGGATAGCGAATTCACAATGCAAGGCTTGCAGGCTGCATCAGCTTTTGTGGTGTGGAAAAAAGCCTCAACACGAACCATGCCCTTTATAGAGACCTAGCGCTTGTGTTCCTTTTGCACGAGAAGGAGCGGTTACGGATTGAGCGTCTCAATGTGTACATTCTTTAGCCATGTTGGAAGTTTATGAATGGAGCCGTTCTACCCAAAGCCATGCAAAGCCATGTCCCTGATGCCATTGGTAAAAAGTATTTCTATATGCTTGTTACTCCAATACTAATGACAGTTTCTTATATATCTTATTTTTCCGCAGAAAATTTAAATATACGTGAGAACGCATATCGACTTTATCTGCAACCGACAGAGTGTAATCAATTGTTCCACTTATTTATAAAGACTTAATGAAAGGCACATTACTTTGGTTTTCTCAGCACCTCCGTGCTTCTGGACTTCAGTTTTTATTCTCCACACCAAAAAAGTTATCTCAATCTAAATACATGATTTTGGCGCGCGCTGTGCTGCCAGTTCAGCCGGCAACGGAGCGGCTGCATTATATATTTCTTATATGCATATGTACGCTTAGCTAATGTAAATGTATTGGGAGAGTCTTATGCATACATGTCTTGAGTGCATTCAGTCAGCGTGGGAATTCTGACTTAGCCTAACTCATAATGGGCGATCATATTTCGCTCACTTGAATTGGTTTATTTATTTGTTTATATTGCAACAATATGTTGCTGCTGTATGCAAGCAGGTTACAGTGTTACCCCGCTACATGTTTCTACATATGTGCATATTACATCTCCCTCCTTTTGAAAAATAACGTAACCTAGTGATGTTATTTTGTAAAATGTAATATTTTTTTTGTTAAAAAAATTACAATTTTATTATTATTGTATTTGAAAGAAAAAATTGTTTTTTCGTATTTATATATCTGTATAGTATTATTGAAATGTATGACTATTGATTCTTATGTAACAAAAATCTTTATTCTATCCTTATGTACTGTTTGTTTTTTGTTTTTATTTCCGGAAATAACTATATTATCTCTATCATTATTTTTTCTATTATATAGGGCCCTGTGTATTGTAAGTCTAGTTTATGTCCTACCTCAATTTTAAGTAAAACTTTATCTCCTATTGACAGACTTATTTCTTTAGCTGTTTTATCATAATATTCCTTATTTTTCTGCTTATTCGAGTCAAGCATATTTCTTGCTCTTTTGTATGCTACTTCTAATCTATATTTACTTTCCTTAGCGTAATCATCTATGTTATATATTGGTTCTATATTATTTACGCTATTAAAATGATTTGGTAAGTTCCTTGTTTTTCCAAAGACAAGTTCATATGGACAATAACCATGTGCCACAGATGGGGTCGTGTTGAAACACTACACAAAATATTGGATCCATACATCCCAATCAGTTTTATCAACCGATATATATGAACGTATGTATTCATTAA